GGGGGGGGGGGGGGTAACATCTCCTGCGCCCTAATTTCCTTCTGCTCCCTAGCAGAGCGACGGGAATACAAGGAAGAATTCGAATCCCTCGCGAACGTGGAGACAAATCCGCCCGAGTCCCGCGGGAGGAATGTATGTGTGTATATGTTTTGGGGGTGGGATTAGCGGTTCTGGCATTAGGAGCGACGGAGTTTGTGGGGTGGGGGGGAGGAGACGAAAGTCTCGAGGACTCCCCGCCAAACTCTTAGGCTGGGCCGCTTTGGCGCAAGCTGCGTGGACTGAACCCCGAGTAGGGGGCGGCCTTTCTGCGGCGGCGGTGGCGGAAAAAGCGCTGGGCTGGCGCTGAAGCTGGGCTGGCGAGAGGGAATCCCACGCTGCGCTTTGCCCCGGAGGGGAGGGGAGGGGTGGCAGGGAAGGACCGGGAAAGCGCAGGCGAGGGTTCCGCGCTGGTGTGGGGGAAAAGGCGAAGCGTTCCACGGTTTTCCCCCCCGAGCTCCTTAGCCTCACCTGTTGGATGGAGCCTGGAAGGGGTGAGCCTTCCCCTCCCTCCGCCTCGCTCCGGCCAGTTGCGTCCCCCACCGGCAGGAGACGCCGAGGGAGAGGGCTGGGACCGACGGCCGCTTCCAACCTTGCAAAGCTTCAGGCCGGGCGTAGCCGGAGAAACCGCCGCCTCCTTCCCCCGCCAGGATCGCGCGGCTCTTCCGTCGGCCTGTCCCCGACGCGCCTCTCCCCTGCCACCCGCCGCGGACACCCTGCCCGGGGCTTCCCCGGCGCCGGCAGCGCTTACCTGCAGCAGCCAGTGGAAGGTCTCGCCCACCAGCGGGAAGCCCATGGTGCCCTTAGGGATGGGTAGCTTGCAGCTCTTGTCGCGCGTGGCGGCCCAGCGCAGCTGCCACAGTTGCTGCGAGACGGCCAGCAGGAGCGTCAGCGAGGCCAGGCAGGCGGCGGCGGTGGCCAGCGCCGAGAGCAGCTCGAAGCCGGCGAAGAGCATCTTGCGCGCCGGGGTGGGGGACTGACCGTCGGAAGCGCCGTAAGGGAAAGCGGCCGGCTTGGACTTCGGGACACAGACTCGTCCGGGCGGCGCGCCTGGGAGGCGAGCGAGACTCTGCACGGATGGCGTGCGCTGCTGCTGCTGCTGCTGCCCGCCGAAGAGCAGGGTGTTCAGACGGGGAGGCGGGCGCCCCCTTTCCGCTCGGACGGAGACCAGGAGGAGTAACGCCCCGGCAGGCGCGGCAAAAGTCGGGGTCCCTCCCGAAGGCGACCCTCTCGGATCTGCGCTCGTTGCAACGCTGCAACCCACAACTCCGCCGAAAGAGGAGAGGGAGGAGAAGGAGGGCGCTGCGCCCGGAGGGGACACCGGCAAGCCGGAGACGGGAGGCTCTTCGGCTGCGGCGGCGGCGGACGAGCCGAAGCCGCAGGAGGCAGCGAGAACGGGCGCGGATCTGTAGCGGGCTTCTGCGGTCGCGCCGTCCAACTTGAGCGGGCTACCTGGCGCGTCTGTGCCGGGCGGGGGGCGGGCCGGCGAGGGGCGGGCGGGAGCGAGCTCCGTTTCGCGGCGCCGTCGGAGGAGGAGTCGCCGCGCTCAGCGCCAGTTTGCGGGGATCAGCCCTGGCGGCGCTTATATAGAGGCGGCGCGGCCGGTGCTCGGCCGGCGGTCGTCCCCTCCTCCCCTCCCCTTCGAGGCGTGGGCGGAGGCGGCGGGGGGCGAGGCGGGCCGGGCGCTGGAGCGTGCCAGCGCTGCCTTCGCCGACTCCGCTCGTGCCGCTCCGCGGGAGGAGGCTCACCTAGGCCGGCTGCGCGTCACCTGGCCGCGGCAGAGGGAAGCGGAGAAGCCGACCGCCTCGCCGCCGACCTCTCGCCGGAGCGCCAAGCGCCGAGTCGGGTCGGCCGTCCCGGGATTCGCCTGTTTACGGACCGCTGCAGCAGGCGCCCTCCGGGGAAGCGGGGCGGACGAGTTCACCGGCCGGAGGAGCTCAGGGTCCCGGCTGGGTGCGCGCTGCCTTCCCTGGGGACGGACCGGCACCCTTTCGGACAACCGCCCGGGCTCTCCGGATCTCAGCGTGCCCCGACCTGGCTGTGGCCGAGGTGGCTCCGGCGGGCGCCGGGCGGCGCCTCCTTTCTGCGCCCGGCGCGGCTCGGCTGCTCGGTCTCGACCTGCTCCGGGACAGACCTGCCGCGACTTGTGCCGGAGTGACCTGCGCCCAGGGCTGGTCCGCGCCTCCCGGCTGGTGGCGGCGTCTTTCTGCCAAAGTGGCGGCTCTCGCTCGCTCGCTCTCTTGCCCTGGCGGGATACCCCGTCCCTCCCTCCCTCAGCAATGCGCGCAACGAGCCGGGGGTCCCGGGCGGGAGGGTCGCAGGGGGAAAAGCGGCTTCACCTCCTCCTCCCTCACCCCCATCTCAGGCAAAGGCTGAGCTGGAAGCTGGAGGTGTGGGGGGCATTTCGGTTGGCAAAGAAATGTTTTATTTCATTTTATTCTTCAATTTGCAATTCGCCGTGTGCCCACGACTCTGGGGAGCCCCTAAGAATCGCCTGTCCTTTCAGGGGCACTTTGAGGTTGGAAGCACTTTCTTTCTTTCTTTAAATATTTTATTGAACAAAACAATTAAAAACATGGAACGTAGAGAAGTCGGTTTGACATAACTTTTGGCCAGTATCGCATAGATCGATCTTTTCCTATATACAATTATTCAAGTGTATACGTTTGTTCGCTCATATATTACGTTTTCCAGCATCATTGTGTCCTATTTTCATCTCGTACGTTCATTTACCCTCTCAGCAGCTCCTTTGCCAACTTAAGAGCTTCCTTTCTGCTCCCACCAGCGATAGAATCTGTCCCGAATTGCGTAATATGCCGACTCGTCTTGATTTTTCATCTCTAAAGTTAGCTTGTCCATTTCAGAGCACATCAAGATTTTTGTTTATGACTTCGTCATTCCCCGGTATGTCTGTCTCCTTCCAGTTCTGGCCAAATGCTATCCTTGCCACAGTAATAATAATAATATGCATAACCACATATAGCCCTTCGGAAGCCCTTGCGAAGCACTGCCTTCCCACCTGCAGGAGAAGTATGGGGAGGGGGCTTCCAATGGAGGGACAGGTGAAGAAGTGTGTGTGGGGGGGGACATTATCCAAACACAGAGGTTAGCCCTGGGGCCTCTGGCCTCAGGGCTCCCATTCAGGGCCAGCAGGGAGACCTGGCCAAATCCCCGTGGGCACAGGATAGAGGCCCACCTGCTGCCTGTAAACACTGTTAATATTGGTGTGTGTGTGTGTGTGTGTGTGTACACAAGACGCTGCCAGCCAGGCTAAGAGACCTTGCTGGGTGGAAGGAAGGGTGCGAAGATGCTTCTCCAGCCCACCATAAGGGGTCCAATGTGGATACTGCAGGGAAGCACCTGCCATCGGTCCCTGGACTGCCCCAGGACAGCAAAAGCCCTCCCATCCTCCCCAGCCCCAGCCTTGGGGCAGGGAGAGGGAGGGGTAGCCACTGTTTTCCCCTGAGAGGAGGACCCTCCCAACCTCCCTAAAGTTATGGGGCTGCCTGAGTCCCCCACCGCACCTTTCACAGGTGAAGTTATGCAGCAGGGGCCAATCCAGAGTTCCTGACAAGCAGGAACCAATTTGGCCTCAAAATACCTCCAAGGAGGCCCAGAGCCAGTCCCGCCCCCCCGTCCGCCCGCCCACCCCCCTCTGCGGTGGCCTTTTCTGCCCCACCCACTCCTCCTCTCCTGGGGCAAAACTGGTTCTCCTCCATTGGGGGGTTCGTGGGGGGGGAAAGGCAGCCCCTTGGGAGCCCTGCAGAAGGAGCCACAGGGATGAGATTTTCTCTAAGGTGGTGGGTGCTGTCCTTCTGCAGCCCAACGGGGAGCCTGATGATCCCCTTCTGCTTCCCCCCACCCACCCCCAGAATCCAGAGGGCACCTCCTGAAAAGAACTGGGTACAGCAAGGAATAAAATGGAGGCCTCTCATCCAAGGGGCCCCCTTCGTTCAGCTGCTTTGGCGGTGCCCCAACCCCAACAGAAAACTTTGGGGTCCTGGGAGGGGTCCTGAAAGTGGTGGGTGGAAGAACAGGGTGCCCATGTCACTGTCTCCAAGGCCAGTTTTTCCCCCCCCACCTCATTTCCCCCCACCCTCCATGATTGCAACATCTGGCTCTAAGAAAAAACTTGGGGTCAACTTCTGGCTAGGTCGCTCACGGCCCTCCCCCATGAGACTCTTGGAGCCACAACTTGAAGTGTGTGTGGTGTGTAGTGTGCTCACAGAAGAACTGCAGAGCAAGGGACTCACTCAGCAGGGTCTCGGGAGAGGGGGGGGTCCCCATGCGTGCCCCTTTCGTGGGTGGGTGAGGATAGGTTCTGCCTCCAGGTTCAGGGAGGCTCAGGAATGACCAAATACCTGCTTGAGCAGGGGGCTGGGCTAGAAGACCTCCAAGGTCCCTTCCAGCTCGATTCTGATTGACTGAACAGGAGGCTTTGCATCCTTGGCATGAGCAATGCGCATACACGTGTGCACACACAAACAGACACACACACACACACACACAGACGCAAACACGCAGGTATGAGGCTGATCTTACTGTTCCCACGTTAACCCCTGGTTCTGGTTTGGGGGCTTGGAAGGGAAACCTTTTGGTTCCCCTTAAAACAACCCAATCGTGGAGGGAGCAGGCAAAAATGCCAATGCGATCCTAAGTTGCATTAACAGAGGGATACGATCCAGATCAAGTGAGGTACTAATACCACTCTATAAAACCTTAGTAAGACCACACCTAGAATACTGCATCCAGTTTTGGTCACCACACTATAAAAAAAGATGTTGAGACTCTAGAAAAAGTGCAGAGAAGAGCAATCAGGAGGATTAGGGGACTGGACACTAAAACATATGAAGAAAGGTTGCAGGAACTGGGCCTGGCTAGTCTAGGGAAGAGAAGGACCAGGGGAGACAGGATAGCAGTCTTCCAATATTTGAGGGGCTGCCACAGAGAGGAGGAGGAGGTCAATCTATTTTCTAAAGCGCCTGAAGGCCAGACAAGGAATAATGGATGGAAACTGAGCAAGGAGAGAGTCAACCTGGAAAAAAGGATAAATTTAACAATCAACCAATGGAACAAAAGTTGCCTTCAGAAGTTGTGGGAGCGCCATCGCTTGAGACTTTCAAGAAGAGATTGGACCGCCATTTGTCAGAAATGGTGTAGGGTCTCCTGCTTGGGCAGGGGGTTGGACTAGATGACCTACAAGGTCCCTTCCAACTCTGATTATCTATTATCTGGAGTGGGAGGGATGCTTTCTGCCCCCTCCCCCCAAGGCAGGCAGAGGAAGGGCCGACCCAAGGCAAGGCAAAGTGGGGTGGAGGAGGCTCTGGCCTCTCCCAGACTGGGGCGAGGGGGGGGGCAGAGGGCCTGGGTCTCCACAAGGGAAGGGGCGTCGGGAGCTGGGCTGGGTCTGGCTGCCTCTCGCCTCCTGCAGACCAGCCCGGCCCCGGGACAGCGGCGAAGCGACCCCGGTAAGAAGGACCCCCCGTTTGACCGCACCTGGCCCGAAGGGCGACGAACCTCAACCGGAAAGGTTGGTGGTCTCGGGGAGGAAGGGAAGCAGCGCCTCCCCCCCCCCCCAAAAAAAAAGCCTCCAAGGGGAAACGGGAGCTTCCTACAGGAGGGGGGGTTGCAAGGACCCTTCCCCCTCCCTTCAGGCTTCCGCGAGGGCATTTATTGCCCGGCTGCCCCCCGAGAGGAGCGCCTCAGGTGGCGGACCCCGGCCCAGGCCAGGTGAGAAGCGGACTGCCCGGCTGCTCTGGCCAGAGCCCGCTTCACTCTTTGCCCTGCAGCCCCACCTGGTGGCCACGCGGGGCCCCGCAAGGATGGCCGAGGTGGGTGGGGGGTGGCCGGCACGCAGCTGTCCCGCCGTCCTCGCGGGAAGGAGAGCGCCTCGCCTGGGTTTTCTAATCTAAAGGATGCTTTAGTTTTAGTTTTAGAGGTCTCCAAACTTGGCCACTTTAAGACTTGGGGACTTCAACTCCCAGAATTCCCCATATCTTAAAGTAGAGGTCTCCAAACTTGGCCACTTTAAGACTTGTGGACTTCAACTCCCAGAATTCTCCAGCCAGCGTAGCTGAAGTCCACAAGCATAACTGGCTGGAGAATTCTGGGAGTTGAAGTCCCCAAGTCTTAAAGTGGCCAAGTTTGGGGACCGCTGGTTTAGTGGAACAGATTACGGAAGTTGCTTTCAGAAAAAGTGGGCGTCACATCACTGGAGGTTTGGAAGAAGAGACTGACAGTCACTTATCTGAAATGGCATAGGTTCTCCTGCTTCAGCAGCGGGCTGGACTAGAAGACCTCCAAGGTC